TATCAGTCGATATGATCATGTAGTTCTTTTCCTTTTTCTTGTTTATATGGTGGATTACGTTGATTGTTTTTCTAATCTTGACCCACCCATGCATCTCTTTTATGAAACCCACTTGGTAATGATGTTTTTGTTGTTGTTGTTTTTGATGTGCTGCTGTGTTCTGTTGGCTAGCTAGGATTTTGTTGAGAATTGTTGCATCTATGTTCATGAGGGATATTGGTCTATAATTTTCTTTCTTAGTGACGTCCATCCCTGGTTTTGGTATGAGGCTTATGCTTGCTTCATAAAATGTATTAGAAAGTTTTCCATCCTCCTCTATTTTCTGGAATAATATGAGTAGAATTGGTGACAGTTCTTCCCTGGATGTTTGGTAGAACTCACCTGTGAAGCCATTTGGACCTGAACTTCTTTTGATTGGGAGTTTTTTGATGACCTGATCAATTTCTTCTTTTGTTATGGATCTGATTGAGTTTTCTACTTCACTCTGTATAAGTTTAAGTAGGTCGTGTTTTTCTAAAAATGTATCCATCTCTTCTAAGTTTTTCAAATTTGTTGGAGTACAATTCTTCATAGTGTTCTGTTATTGTCCTTTTGATTTCATTTGGTTCCGTTGTGACATTGCCCATGTGGTTTCTAATGGGAGTTATTTGTGTCTTCTCCCTATTTTCTTTTGCTAGATTTGCCAATGGTTTGTTGATTTTATTAAACCTTTCAAAGAACCAGCTTCTTGTTCTGTTGATTATTTCTGTAGTTTTCCATCTCAATTATTTCTTTTCTTTGGTTACTGTAGGTTCCCTCTGTTGGTCTGTTTCTAATTGTTGTAGATGCTGTGTTAATGTGTTAATTTTGGTTCTTTCCTCTTTTGGAATGTGCGCATTTATCACAATAAATTGTCCTCTCATCACCACTTTCACCGTATCCCAAACATTTTGGTATGTTGTGTTTTCATTCTCATTTGTTTCTAGGAACTTTGTGAATTTGTGTTTAATTTCTTCTTTTGCTCAGTCGCTTTTCAGCAGGGTGTTATTCAGTTTCCATGTATTCGATTTTATTTCCTTGGTCTTCTTAGTGTTGATTTCTAGTTTTAAAGCATTGTGGTCTGAAAAGATGCTTTATAGTATATTGATGCTTGTAAATTTATGGAGGCTTTCTTTGTGACCGAACACATGGTCAGTTCTGAAGATTGTTCCATTTGCACTGGAGAAGAATATATATTATGCTGGTGTTGGATTGAATGCTCTGTACTCATCTATGAGGTCAAGTTGGTTGATTGTGTTGTTTAGTTCCTCTGTAACTGTCGAGTTTCTTTCTATTTGTTCTGTCACTTTTTGAAAGTGGTGTATTAAAATCTCCCACTATAATTGTAGATTTATCTATTTCTTTCTTCAATTCTAGTAAGGTTTGCTTCATATATCTTGGTGCTCTTTCTTTGGAAGCGTAGATATTTATTATGGTTATGTCTTCTTGCTCAATTGATCTTTTGATCATGAGATAGTGTCCTTCTTTATCTCTTATGCTGGTTTTTGGCTTAAAGTTTACTTTATCGGAGATTAGTATTGCCACTCCTGCTTGTTTATTGTTGCAGTTAGCTTGGTATATTTTTTCCCCATCCTTTAACTTTTAGTCTGTTTTTGTCTTTGTGTGTAAGGTGTGTCTCTTGCATGCAGCATATTAAGGGGTCTTGTTTTCTTATCCATTCTGCCACTCTCTGTTTCTTCACAGGTGCATTTAATTCACTGACACTGACATTCAATGTAATTATCAATAAGTATGAATTAATTGCTGCCATTATGTCAATTTTTAGTAGTTCCGTTCATTCCTTTGTTCTGTATGCCTTCTTGTGCTGAGTTTGTGTTTTTTATTCTATTTCTTGTCAGTTTCTTCTTAGTTTTTATGTTTGCTTTTTCTGCTTGGAAGTTCATTTTCATGGTAATTTGTGAAGTATTAACTTTCTTTGAGGTTACCTTATAGTCTATTAACTTTTCCCTCCATTTAAGACAATCTATTGCATCCTGTAATCTACCTGACCTCCTCACCACTTGGATCTCTGTTCCTACATTTTTCCCTTCTTTGACATAGCTATTATTTTCATCTTAGGTTGACCTTACAGCTCCTTTGAATTCATTGTTGTAATTTTGTTCTGTTCTGGGCTCTGCTATCCATCGTTTGAGTTTCAGGTCTGTTCTTGTAGGTTTTCAGTCCACAGAACTCCCTTTAGGATGTTTTGAAGTGCTGTATTGGCTTTGACAAAATCTCTTAGCTTCTGTTTATCATGGAATGTATTTGACTGACAGTTTTTCTAGATAGATGATTCTTGGTTGGCAGTTTTTTCTTTTAGGATTTTTTATATGTCACCCCATTGCCTTCTTGCCTGCTTAGTTTCTGCTGAATAGTCAGAGCTTAATCTGATTTGCTTGCCTTTGTAAGTAAGATTTCTCTTTTCCCTGGCTGCTTTTAGGATTCTCTCCTTGTCTTTGATTTTGGAGAGCTTGATTATTATATCTCTTGATGATTTTCTTTGGGGTCTATCCTTCCTGGGGTACATTCTACTTACATGGCATCAGCAACCTGAACACCCTAGAGACTCTGGATCTCCAATCAGGCCTAGGGGGCATCTCTCATGAGACACAATGACTGGTCAGGGACAGCAGGCATACTCCTTATGGGTGAGAGGGCAGGTGGTACAGGCCACTGGAGGAGAGAAGAGGAGAGAATCTGAGCCTCTTCAGCAAGGAGATCCAACCCTGGCTTCAAGAAGGCCCCTCTGCAGGTGCCCTGACCTTAGAACCCACAGGCTCCTTTTCTGCTCCCCGAGAACCCCATGGAAGACATCAGAGTGAGCCTCAGACCAGTCTTTCAGTCTTGCCTGGGACTTACTAGGGCTGACAGCAGGAGCTGGCAGCAAAGACCCTCTGTTCTGGGTGGGGCTATCCTTTCCGTTTACATTCAGGACCATCATATCAACTGCTGTGAGGACTTTGCCCCCCTCTGCTGTTCTGAAGGGGGCACCTCAAAGCTCCCTGGGACCCACTAGAAGGACCTAAGGAGTGCCTCAGTCCACCATCCCTGCCCCTGGGATCTTCAGTCTTCATTTAGCTGTCTCATCATGGCTCAAGATAGGGCCTGGACACCTGCCTTTGCTGACCCAAGGTTCCTTCTCTCAGATCAAGACCTTCAGCAACCTGTTGCCATTAAAAAGGAGAGTTGACATTTATCTGATCTCAGGCCTGGGAGCTCCCAGCATGACAAGCAGGGTGGGACAAGACTCTGTGCTGTCTCCCTTCTCTGAGGTGGCTGGTACCATCAGTGTACAAAGAGAGCCTGTTAGGCTCTGGCTCTTCTCTCTCTGCACAAATGGGGCTGCCCATGTATACCAAAGCCTGCAACTCTGTGAACCCCTCAAGGTGGAAATGTGAAGGCAATTCACCTGAGGTTTCTTTTGAGGTTTCTGGAATATGAATGTGGGGGACACTCTAGAACTCCCCGGGACTTTTCCCATGATGCCTTTAAGACCTGGACCTCTTCCCATTTTAGAGCAGGAAGCACTCTCAGTAGACCAAGATCCTCTCCTCCCTGAGACCCTCTAAGCAGAAATGAGGGGGATCCTCTCAGGGCCACCAAAAGGAGGGGCTTTGTGGGACCTCATCTGTTCTGGGGTGCATGGTTCCTTCCTTCTTCTTCCAGAGTTCTCACTCTGACACCCCACGACCTTGGTCATTGTGCCTGGGACCTCCCTTTCAAGGCTGCACCCCTCAAATTCAGGCCCTTGCCTTCTTGGGACCTCTGAATTGGAAGTCAGGGTCGGCTATATCCTCCCAGACCACTGGGATCCCTAAAGGCAGACAGGCAGGGCTCTCTGGGACCCATTGTTCAGGCTAGGTCCTGCCGTCCTCCTCACTTAAGGCTGTCACCTTGAGATCTGCCAAAGGCTGGTACTCCTCCTTCTACTGACCCGATGTCATCCTAGACATGCTGTCTAGCCCAAGCTGACTTATCACAATCCCATGTATGTCAGAGTAGAATTGTGCTCCATAGAGTTTTAAGTGGCTGATTTGGGGGAAGTAGATCACCAGGCCTTTCTTCCAAGGTGCTTTTCAGTGGACTCAAACCAACGTTTTGTTAGCAGCCAAAAGATTCGCACCACCCAAGGACTCCAGCTTAAAATTACCTCCCAGTGAAGGACTAGCAGTGCCCAAGGCCCCCAAGTGCCTTGTCTCAGGGCATTACACTTAACTGCTCTCCTTTGGCCCTGTCCTCCCATCCTTCTGTGTGGGTCTCACCATTGTACTTAGAGGAGATACTCATAGATACTAAAGCACTGTCGTTACAGCTGAGTCTTCTTCATCTAAAGTAACACGAAGCCCTCCACATAGCAGATGCTCAGTTAATGGTTGAAAAACAAAAGAGCCAGTGAACAAGAGGTTTAATTTATTACAATTTTATTTCTCTCACATTCTTGAACAACCTAAGAAAACCAGGTATATAACTTTCAATTTTACTAAAACCAAGACTAAATGGAATAAAGGAAACTAAGAGTTAACAATCTTTGACTTATTTTTAAATATATTAACTATTTCATTGGCTATTTAAGATATATTGTCTATTTACTTATTTATTAGCTACCTCATTATCCCAACTGTAAGGTTCTTACACATGTTACTGTGAGGTTCTTACACATTTCCAAGAAAATCCCTGCTCCAATACCATGCTATTTTATCCGAGATCACAGGAGGCAAGACTTTTCCATTTGTTTTGCACAACACAAAAATATTACTCTTCAACCTGAAAAACAACAATAAACATGTGATTCACGTTATTTATAAACTTAGATTCAAGATTTAAGTAAACAATCTATTCAAAGAATAAGTTTATTTTTAAAAGCTAAACGTCTAAGTTACTTATGTTTAAGAAGAACACCAAAAAAGATAAACTTGTACTGCCTCCTCTAGCTTCACCTTACCCTCCACTACTAAAAGGCCCTTTTCAACCCTCTCAGACCTCACTATGGGTAGGAAGACTTGCCTTGGCCTTGGCCTTGGCCTTGGCCTTAGCCTTGGCACGGGTGCTGGTCTCGGGAGTAGGATCAGTGTTGGTGGCATCTTCGGTTTGGGCTTTCTCTTGCTCCTCTCTCAACGCCTCTTCATACTTGGATGAGAATAAACTGGGGTCAGTACCATTGACTTTGGCCAAAAACTTCAGGACTTTCAGCTTGCTGGTTTCAGTGTGGGCTCTGGGACCCCACAGGAACTCATAGCATGGAGGATCACTGTTGGGGACCAGCTGGTACTGCAGGTACTCTTCCTTCACAAAATCTTCTGTAATGAGCTTCCTAGGCTCCCCGAAGATGTAGTGACTCTTTCCATCGTAGAGCCCCAGCATATTCAGGAATTCCCAGATCTCATTCTCAGTGGCTCGGTTGTCATTCATGAAGATCATGCCCAGGATGGGCATCAGGAGACCATGCCTGGGGAACTGTTCGCTATCACTCTGAGCGCCATCGTTTTGAACATTTAGTTTGCTGACAAGGGTGTAGGACTGACCTCTGGGGCCAACTTCCTTCAGGTCAAGACCAAAGACCAGCTCCATGCGCTCAGTGGCTCTACTCAGGATCTCAGGGAAGGCCTCCCTGTACCTCTTGCTGAAGAGTTTCAGCATCTCTACCTTCGAGAAGGCCTCTTTCACTTTGTACTTGTGAAGCAGGAATTGCACCAGCATACCTGCCTTCTTGGTGAGCAGATCTCTGCCTGAGCTCTCAGTGGAAGCTGAAGCCTGTGAGGAACTTGGATTTTCCTCAGCTTGGCTCTTAGCACCTTTCTTAGCTCTTGGGCGGCGAGAACGAGCTCCAGCTTTTGGAGGCTCCTGGGATTTTCCAGCAGGAGAGGAGCTCTGGGGAGCATCCTCACAAGCAGGAGAGGAGCTCTGGGGAGCACCCTCACAAGAAGGAGAGGAACTCTGGGGAGCACCCTCACAAGCAGGAGAGGAGGAAGACTCCACAGCTTGAGCAGCCTCAGCACTCTGAGTCTCGTCTCGGACCTGTTGGCGTTTCTCACGGGAGCGTCGCTTACTCTTCTGACCACGAGGCATGATGACTGAGTAGAGCAGGTGATGCGAGTCACTAGAGGAGAAGGGATGAGAGAACGTGAGCCCCTTCAGCAGGGAGATGCCACTTAGGCTTCAAGAAGGTTCCCTGGAGAGCCTGTCCTAGGAACCCATAGACTTTTCTTCTCCTGTTTAGCCTGTCCACCCCTGCTCCCCCCACTTCAACCAAACCCTGGGGAGGGCATCAGCGTGAGCCTCAGACTGCAGTCTTCTGGGCAAGCTTGGGGTTAAGTAGTACTGACAGCAGCAGTAGACACATTCACATTCGGGAGCATCATATCAACTACTGGGTGGGCTCTGGCCCCCTTTCCTCTGCTGCTCTGCGGGGGACACTTCAAAGCTCCCTGGGACCCATAAACAGGATATGAAGGGGTATTCCAGTCACCACCCTTTCCAGGGACACAGTGTGCGGGCAGCTCTATGGGGTCCTTTCTGTCCTTCTGTGCTCATTGTGATCTTTAATCCTTGTGCAGAGTTCTCACCTTGGCCCTATACTGGAGCTGGGATCCACCATTCTGTTGAATGGGGGCTATACCTTTAGGCCAAGGGCCTTGCCTCCCTTAACCCTGATAGCCTGAGAGCCCTGCCTTGGCCTTCAAAGGCTGAAGTTCTTTGTTTTAGGAGGTAGGACAGGGCTCTTTGTTGTTCCCTCTATTCAGGGCTGAGTGACCCTGTCTGACCTCTCTCAGGGTCCGGGCAGTGCCTAGAGCCACCCTCTTTCTGGATCTGAGGAATGAATTCTCATTGTAGACCCTCACCTCCCTGAACTCCAATGGAGGAAGCGAGCATCCACTTACATGGCCAGACCTGCCGGTGGTCTCCCAAGGCTGAAAGATGCCACTGGCAGGTTGAGGCCTGATAAGCGCTAATCCCCAGATTCAGCACTCTAAATCTCTGCTGACCACAAAGACCCTCCCTTCTCCGTCACACCCCAGGAGTCATGGAGGAGTGCGGCTGCTGCGATACGTATGCCCCTCCCGGCAGGGGTGGGGTTCCGGGCAGCCCCTTCTTTTGGGGAGAGGGCCCTTGGTTAACATTCAAGTTCCTCACCAGGGCTCTCGGAGGGCTTAGGTTTCCTCCCTTTGCAGAACTAGGGCTGCCCCTCTTTCTACCTAGGCCCTCCCCTCCATGAGGCCCTCCAGGCAGGAGTAGGCCTGATCGCACCTTAGGGTGGGGGACCTCCCAAAATGGAAGGCAGTGGGGGTGCTATGGCCCACCATGCTTAAGGTTAGTGTCATTGATCCCTCCAAAACACATTTAAAGGCCTCACCGTAACTCCTGACCAGCTCTGGACCTCCAACTCAGATGACCGAAGGTGTTCCGTTAGGTGCCGGTTAGGTCAAGGCCTGCAGTGTCCGAGGACCTCGGCGACACGGAAGTCACGGAGTGTAACTTCCGGCCCAGGGTGGTTGGGTTTCCGAAGACCAACAACAGGAACAAAGGTTTTGGGGACCCCTTTGGTTCCTACCAGACCCTGGAATTCCTCCCTCCACTTACATAAATTTAAGTACATCCAGCACAGACCAAATAGCCAAGAGCGTCAAGTCTGGCATTGCACATCTATGCATTTCTGCTTGGAGCCTCATGTGGCTCAGGGTGACCCCGTCTTTAGGGAAGAAGTTTCTTCCTAAGCACTTAGGGTCTTCACCTAGGTCTCCTCCCTCTGCAAAAGGAGGACCACCCCCTTAATCAGGGCCCTCCTTTCAACACTGGACCTCCCAAGGCCACCAGTAAGAGGGGCTTTTATGGGTTCCCCTCTGTTCTGGAGTGGGTAGTTCCCTCATTCCTCATTCAAAGTTCCCACCTTGACACCCCATCGGTCCTGGGGCTCCACTCTTTGCTGACTTGAGGTTGCGCCCTCCAAATCCAGGTCGTTGTCTTCTCAGGACCTCCAAAGTCAAAGGGAAAGAGCCCCGGAGGGTCTCTATGAGACCTCATTGTTCTGGTTGGGTCCTTCCCTTCTCCTCACTCAGATCGGCCAGTGGCTCACACGCTTCTCTCTACTGACACGAAGTCACCCACCTTGAACCAACACACCTGTTCCCGAGAGCCCTAAGGAGAGGCAAGACACTCAGCCTGACAGCCGTGCCGGGGACCCTCTAGGCTTTAGGGCAGGCATAGCCAGTCTCTGTGGGAACCCTTTATTCTGGGGAGTTAATCTCCGCTGGCCTCCTACATGGGGTCCTCCTTTTGGCTTCTGTTTCTTTGACTACCCACCAGTTTCCCTACTGAAAAATGACACAGGGACACAGGGCGGGGGGCCTAGGTTAGCGGTGGACTGTTAGAAGGTGTGGTTGGCCTTCATAGGAGCCAGGGAGGCGTGCTTCCTTCCCCTCCTGTCTGGAGTAAGTGTTTTAATGACTGTGAATTATGTTAATGCTAGTTGGTGCTGCTAATCAACGGACTTCTCTATAGCTCGGGTTTGCAAATTGAACAGCTGCCTCCTTCAGACACTGACCTTTACTCAGACACTTGCACCTTATTCAACCTTCTCAAGACATGAGCCTGCAGTGTGGGAGAGGAAAATCCACATAAAGCTGGAACAGTGAATCCTGCCAGTGGGGTGGATTTTCTTTTTGCCCATAATGAGGAGCTCTGTGCACACTAACAGAAGCTCTTTAAGGGCTTATTGGACATTATTTAACACATTGCCAACTTGTCGATTCTGACTCATGGTGACCTTATGTGTGTCTGAGTAGAGCTGTGCTCCATAGGATTTTCAGTGACTGATTTTTCAGAAGTAGATTGCCAGGACTTTCTTCCGAGGTGTTTCTAGGTGGACTTGAATCGCCAACCTTTCAGTTGAGAACCTTAACTGTGTATAACACACAGGGACTCCACTGGAAATGAAAAAGATAGTAAACTAATATTTGCCTAAAATGTAAACTTGATGAGCTTCACCTTTTCTGCTATACCCTGGCTACTGTGCTCTAGGCTTTGGTTGTGAAACACTGACACCAAAGCACTCCAGAAACTGAACTGTATGGTTTTCTCTCATTGATTCAGGCACTGTTGTAGACACTAGGAATGGAAAAAAAAAAAAAGTCAAGGTTTTTGACCCTAAGGAGCTATATTAGTGTCATTTAAGGATAAACAGTGGACTTCAAACCACAAGATGGGTGATTTGAGCCCACCAGCTGCTCCACAGGAGAAAGGTGAGGCTTTCTGCTCCTACAAAGATTTACAGCCTTGGAAACCCTATATAGGTCGCTATGAGTCAGAACCAACTCGACGACTCCACGACAGCAGTTAGCAATAACAACAAGGGTCAACAGACTTCAGCCCCTAGTCTATCCTATTTTTGGAAATTCATATTTATTGGAGCACAGACACATTCATTTGTTTATGTAGTGGTAACAGAAACTGCATGTCCCACAATGCCTAAAATATGCACTCTCTGACCCTTTATTGAAACAGTTTGCCAACCCCAGTATCTAGTAAGAGAGACCAGCATTCACACAACTAAGTGTAATTCAAGGTTGTTGTTGTTAAGTGCTGTTGAGTCTGTTCCGACTCAACAGGGTTTCCAAGGAGTGGCTGGTGGTTTGTGGTTCAAACTGACCTTGCCATCCAGCGCGTTATCCTGCAGCACCAACTGGTGCCGGCAAATGGGTTCTGAGTCCCAGTCATCCTGTGCACAACAAAATGAAACTCTGCCTGTCCTGTCCTGTCCTCACAACTGTTGTTGTATTTGAGCCCATTGCTGCTGCCACTGTGTCAGTCCATCTCATTGGAGGTCTTCCTCTTTTTTGCTGATCCTCCACTTTACCAGATACGATGTCCTTCTCCAGGGACTGGTCCTTCCTGATAACAGGTCTAAAGTATGAGAGACAAAGTCTTCCCATGCTGGCTTCTAAGGAGCATTCTGGCTGTACTTCTTCCAAGACAGATTTGTTTGTTCTTCTGGCAGTCCATGGGACTTTCAATATTCTTCACCAACACCATAATTCAAATGTGTCAATTCGTCTTCCATCTTCCTTATGCATTGCCAAACTTTTACATGCATATGAGGCCATTGAAAATACCATGGCTTTGGTCAGGCAAACCTTAGTCTTGAAAGTGACCTCTTTGCTCTTGAACACTTTAAAGAGGTCTTCTGCAGTAGATTTGCCTAATGCAATACATTGTTTTATTTCCTGACTACTGTTTCCATGAACATTGACTGTGTATCCAAAATAAAAGCTAGGACCTGTGTTGTTGTTGTTGTCAAGTGCTGTCAAGTCGGTTCTGACTCATAGCAACCCTTGTAAGGTTTCTGAGACATGACTAGTCAATTTGAACTGCCGATCTTGGGATTCAAAATGACCTTGTGGTCCGGTGCTTATCCTACAATGTAAAACCAGGACTCCAGGACCCTTATGGTGGTGGTGGTAGTGATAATCATGTGCCACGGAGTTAGTTCCAACTTATAGCGACCCTGTATAGGGTTTCCGAGGCTGCAAATCTTTACGGGAGCAGAAAGCCTCATCTTTCTCATGCGGAACAGTTGGTAGTTTTGAACTGCTGACCTTGAGGTTAGCAGCCCAACTTGTAACAGCCACTATGCTACCAGAGCTCCTTAGGACCCTTGTAGAAAGGACCACCCAAGGTTATCATGGAGCTAGAACATTGGAACCTAACTTTGAGAGATGGGTTGGATTAGGGCCTTTTGAGAGACCAGAGGATATTTCAGGTCAGGTGGTCGTCTGTGTTGTCTGTTCATTGGAAACACTTGGAGAGCTTCAGGATACAGATGTGTAGGTCTTCCCTTCCAGAGATCCTGGTTCAGGTCTTGGACCTGGGCATCTGGATTTTTTCAAAGCTCCCCGGGTGATGTTAAGTGCAGCCCAGGTTGAGAAATTGTTGTTGTTAAGTGTCGTTGAGTCGGATCCAACCCACAGCAACCCTGTGTAGGGTTTCCAAGGAGCAGCTGGTGAGCTTGAAGTGCTGACCTTGCAGTTCAATCCGACTTTGCAGTCCAGTGCATTAACCTACAGTGCCACACC